TTCTTCTTTAGCTTCTTCCTTCTTCTTCTTCTTCTTTTACTTCTTCTTATTTCTTCTTTTTCTTCTAAACTTCGGCCGAAAGTTCTGGTTGTTCGTCCACTTCTGTATTTTACTCTGTTACCAGAATTTTAGTTTTGCATGCACATCCGTTTTACAGATTTTTATAATTTGTATGCAGACTTTTGTTTCCTCAAACTTCGAAGGGAACCCCTGAATAGTGGACTTTTAGGACATGCTTGTTAGAAAAGCAGTGAGTCTACTCATATGGGGAGGCTGAAATCATCTGAATCAAGATCATAGTAATTGTTACCTAAAAGCATTGTGTAATTATTTTAGTGTGGCAATAATGGTACACATAAAAAAGGATTACCGGGGAAATAGATTATTATCCAGCTACAAACGTCTTTTTCAAAACTGTCTATATAACCCCTAGCGGGGTTGATTAATGTTTACAAAATAAACATGAAAATGGTGGAATATAAATTAAATAGAAATATGAACATTTATTTATTGTTTGTTCCACGTATTCAAGTGAAAGCAGTCACACAAAGTAGTACGTGGTGTAGTTTGCTCCACTTATTCTAAGTAAAAACAGGTACACAGAGGTAGTACTTTCTGAAGTTTGCTCCACGTATTCAAGTGACAGCAGGCACACAAAAGGTAGTACCTGTTGTATTTTGCTCCAGCTTGATCAACCAGCTTGATCATTTGGGAATATATAGAAGGACTACAGTGGGTGAGTGTGTCTGGTCAGAGACGAAGCGAAAGATAATAATCTAAGAGTATCCTACGAAAGCATCGTCTTACGAGCAACTTTGCATGTTTATATTTATAGTGGATTTTTTTCATATTGCCAGCGACCAAGCTGTTAATTTTCAGTTTGGTCCGTTGACCCAAAACAAAAGGTTACTCGCTCCTGGTATAGATACAAGAGCTAAAGGTTCGAGTTATAAACAAGAGTTAAGGGTGTAGATACAAGAGTTGAAAGTATAGAAGCAAGAGTTTAGAGTACGGGGTACAGATACAAACAATAAAAAGTATAGATACAACATTTGGGAATTCGAGATAAAGATACAAGATCTGAGGATTCGAGGTATAGATGCAAGAACTAAAACTATGGATTCAAGAATTAAAAGTATACATACAAGAGTTTAAGAGCTGGGAGTTCCAGATGTAGATACAGAAGTGGAGAGCTCGAGGTGTAGATGCGGGAGTTGAGGGTGCGAGGGTTAGATAGGTTGAGGGTTCTAGATGTAAATATAGGAATTGAGGGTTAAAGGTGTAGATACAGATTTTGAGGGTTGTCTAGGTGTGAATATAAAAGTTTAGGGTTCGATGTGTAGATACAGTTGTTGAGGTTGCTCGAGCCGTAGAAACAGGCTTTTTTTTTTTTTTAGCAAACAAAACATCATCGTTATTTTACTTCCTGTAAGGCCATTTCGGTTTTTATTGGAAACTTGAAGAATGTTCTAGTGTGGCGCATTGCTGACTGCGACGAATTGTCATTTTCAACATGGCTGCCTAGAAACAAAGATAAGTAAATGTCAAACCTATACAAAGTGCAATTATTAAAATTCTGGAGACACCGGCAGAGACACATATTTCTTGTACGTTTTTTAATACCATTATTTGCTGTGTAATATAACTAATTGAATGGATAACATGGTGTATAATGCATAGTGCTGTGTAATATTATAAGATGTCTGTTCTGAAAGTATGAAGAAAAACGTGATTTAGTAAGATAGAGAATGGATTATATATCACTGGAGTTGAGTTTTCTGTTAAATCTGTGACTTTCCCCCCTTTATATGCATCTGCGATCAACAAACGTAGCAACTTCAAAGTATAGTGGATGCGAACTTTGGTGGCTAGGCACAGGACAAATCCTTGTGTCTTATCCGTTCTCAGCGCCTCGTGTTCCAACCTATGCCACTGGCGCCATCAAGAAATGGAAGTCTGATGGTAGGACTCTCTAGTCAGTTTCTGTTCTGATCCTGTGATTGCAAAATCTACCTGGCTGTATCCTAGTCATATGTTTATGTTATCAGTCCACTTGTAAGTAGCTTCTTATGTAATATAAAATCTCCACCGAAGAATTGCTATACGTCTGCATATTTTTCTCTCCACTTTTTAAAATACCTATCAAAAGACTTTCTTCATAAAATAAAAAATTTTTAAATTTTAATTTCTTTTCCCTATTTCTATATTTCTCTTCTGAGTTTTCTTATTGGTCTCCTTTTTTTTCTCCGCTTTCTTGTATGCCTTTTATTTTCTCATCTTCTCCTTCCCCCCCCCCCCTTTTTTTTTTCTCCTCCTTATCCTCATCAAGGTGCGGCGTCCGTGGCTAAGGCGTTGCGAGTCCGACTCGTAAGCCAGCATACCGCGATCGAAACCCACTGCAGGCTGAGTGGATTTTTGTCGTGGTATGGGACGTCGCAGGTCGACCCAGCCTAAAAATGGGACAGGATGGCTGCATGGGAAAGTAAAGACAGCCGGCGTAATGCTGACCACATTACCCACCGAGTGCTGATGGTCTGTAAAATCCTGGGACGCACTGCCCATATGCCCGATGCGCCGAAAGGCGTGAAAAGGATTTACTTTTTTTACTTTTATCCTCATCAAGGCCGATTGGTCTACTATATATGCTAGTATATATATATATATATATATAATACTATATATATATATATATATATATATATATATATATGTTTGGTTGTGCACACCACACACACACGCACGCAACCGCCCAATCCACTGTCTGCGTAAAGAGCCTGCCCCGACCCGCCGGATCATGCTCATTTAATCACTTAGCACACACGGCAATAGACCTGTGATTCTAGCCACCTGAAAGCTTGAGTCACCGCCATAACCCCCCACCGTCATGCTACTGGTAGTCATGAAGAAGGCGCCGCTGACTTCTTAGACTGTTCTGCCTGAAAACCGAACTGTAAATGCCCATGCACTCGTGTATCCTTATTTAACAGACCCGTCTGTGAAGATTAACACATCTGTCTCATCTGACCTGTTCCTACTGATAAGCGCGCAGACTCGACGTTGACAGCAACGCGATTCTGCACCCGACAACTATCAAACGGGACGACACAGAAGAAAATTAGTTTGAGCGCTTTATAATACCATGGACAGATTTAAAACCGAACGAAAAGTAGATGAGCGAGCTTCACAATATAAGAAACACAAACGAAAGGTGAACGTGGAAGCTTTGGAGCCTTCATCAGCATATACATAAATCAAATAAAACCTCATGAATACACAAAATCACCTAACTGTTGCATTTCTTGCCAGTGGAATGAAGAGACACGTTAGGCCGAAAATAGATAGCCAGGGAATGCCAGGGGTCTAACTCGAAAATGTTTAGATGAAACTGTGTTGATAGTTCAGCCTCCTTTGTGTTAACGTGCCCAAAGTGAAAATTTTCAAGAGACTTGGGGACTCTGTCGCTGAAGTGGCTAGATTTAGAGGCTGTCACCTGCAAGTCGTGGGTACCTTGGTGATTCTGGGAATTGAAATGCAATGGTACTGGTTTCGGGGAACCGTTGTGTACAAACAAAAGATGTCTGAACCTGTCAGCCGTTTCATCAATGTATTTTACGCCACATCTTCCGCAGTTGATGGCGTAAATGACACTGAGGCTCGTGCAGAAGAATGCTTCACGTCTGTGAAAAGTGGCATTCCTGAAATTCCAGACTTGTTCCCTGAATCACATAAGGACAATCCTGCATACAGGTATGTGGCAAAATACCATGATCAAGTGGGATTCAGACGCAGGAAGTAACCGACTCTTGACTAGAATTTCCTTGAGGTTACGATCATGTGTGTAGGCCACTAGAGGAAGTTCAGAGAAAATCGTGCTGGTGGCAAGGTCAGGATGGTGAGATGCCTGAGGAGAATATCTCTGGCACGGATGTTGTAAGGGTGGTAAGTATGAGGATAGGTCAATTTTGGTAGTGTTAAGGCTTGGAAACAAGAGCCTCAGCACGATGGATAGACTGTGCTCTGTGAAAGGCTGCAGATAATACATTCAGGATACCCTCAAAGATAGAAGACGTCCAGCATTTCTAGGACCTTGAGGTGAAAATCGTTGCTCTTCTGACATAATTTGCGTAGGTGTTAGGTATAGAAGCTGGGAGAAAGGAATAAAGTCATTGCAGGAAAAGGGATGAGCGGACGTTTTGGGATCGGTAGGCTTATAGTACACCGTGGTGATGAGATCTTTAGAATCCAATGTGACAGTGAGATCCAGAAAATGCACTAACGATGGT